TATTTTGACTCCTAGATCTGGAAAAAAATTTCGCTATCTCTTATTCTAAAATTGTTATGACTAAGCCATACACTGAGAAATTTTCTGTTTTGTGTGTAATAATTCCTTGTTTTTTTTTATGATGATTTTAGAATATGTGTCATCACTGATTTCATAGCAATTTCAGATCATATTTTCTATTTTGGGATATTTAATTTTGACTCCTAGATCTTGGAATAAATTCGATATCTCTTATTCTAAATTTGTTATGACTAAGCCATACACTGAGATATGTTTTGCATGTTCTAATTCCTGATTTTTATGATGATTTTAGGATATGTGCCAGCATTGATTTCATTGCAATACCAGATCATAATTTTTCTTTTGGAATGTTTTATTTTGATTCCTAATATTGAAAAGAATGATAGGTGTTCATTTTCAGTTCAAGATCATTCGTGTCGCAAAGTAGAATATCGCCGGTATAGCTCCCCTCATAATGAGTACATTGCCCTCCTGATGGGAAACAGGATCATTGTTTTCTATTACTTGAATAGGTAAGGATGTGGTATGCTGAAATGATCAGTGTCCTTCTCCTCATATTGGTTGTTGTAGATGCTACAATCAGGAAGGAGAAATTAAGTAGAAAATTGGCAACAAGTCCGTCCAAAAATTTGTTTACCTCCGTAAACATCCAGTCACTAGAGAGAAACATCAAAATCCGCAAAAGCAATCTTCAGAGGGACTTCTTTAAGGCCACGGTAGAACCTGTGTTGCTCTACGGCTCAACAACATGGCCACTGACGAAATACCTAGAAGCATCACTTGAAATACCTAGAAGCATCACTTGACGGAACATACACAAGGATCTGTCTATATTTCTGAGATGAGGTATTATGTACACTATTTATATTATTCGGACTATTGTCCTCATCTCTGTCGCCATATATATTACAACGTTTCGGTCTATCAGTATCTGTCTATATTTCTGAGATGAGGTATTATGTACACGATTTACATTATTCGGACTATTGTCCTCAACTTTTTTCGCCATATTTATTACAACGTTTCGGCCTTTCAGTATCTGTCTATATTTCTGAGATGAGGTATTATGTACACTATTTACATTATTCGGACTCTTGTCCTCAACTTTTTTCGCCATATTTATTACAATGTTTCGGCCTTTCAGTATCTGTCTATATTTCTGAGATGAGGTATTATGTACATTATTTACATTATTCGACTATTGTCCTCATCTGTGTCGCCATATTTATTACAACGTTTCGGTCTTTCAGTATCTGTCTATATTTCTGAGATGAGGTATTATGTACACTATTTACATTATTCGGACTATTGTCCTCAACTTTTTTCGCCATATTTATTACAACGTTTCGGCCTTTCAGTATCTGTCTATATTTCTGAGATGAGTTATTAAGTACACTATTTACATTATTCGGACTCTTGTCCTCAACTTTTTTCGCCATATTTATTACAATGTTTCGGCCTTTCAGTATCTGTCTATATTTCTGAGATGAGGTATTATGTACATTATTTACATTATTCGGACTATTGTCCTCATCTGTGTCGCCATATTTATTACAACGTTTCGGTCTTTCAGTATCTGTCTATATTTCTGAGATGAGGTATTATGTACACTATTTACATTATTCGGACTATTGTCCTCAACTTTTTTCGCCATATTTATTACAACGTTTCGGCCTTTCAGTATCTGTTTATATTTCTGAGATGAGTTATTAAGTACACTATTTACATTATTCGGACTATTGTCCTCAACTTTTTTCGCCATATTTATTACAACGTTTCGGCCTTTCAGTATCTGTCTATATTTCTGAGATGAGGTATTATGTACACTATTTACATTATTCGGACTATTGTCCTCAGCTTTTTTCGCCATATTTATTATAAAGTTTCAGCCTTTCAGTATATGTCTATATTTCTGAGATGAGTTATTATGTACACTATTTACATTATTCGGATTATTGTCGTCATTTTTGTCGCTATATTGTTACCTTTATCCACTGTGCCAAGTGTTTTTGAGGACACATGGCAGAGTGGATAAAGGCGTTAGTTAAATCCAGTGACAGAACCCAAAGAATGTGAGTTCAATACCTGGTTAAGGCGTGGAGAACTTGCAGAGGGGAAATAATATGAGATCACTGATAACTGACATTCATTAGACGTGTCACATGAAACTAGCACAGTCTTCCCCAACGAGCGAAATAAAGGATTCAGTTCGACATTCCAAGTACCAGAAGAAGGCCGAAGCGTACAACGGCCGAAACGTTGTGATAAATGTGGCAAAAAAAATGTGGATAATAGTCCGAATAATGTAAATAGTATACACAAGCATGTTACGAGTTGCATTGGACATCAGTCGGAAGAAACATCCGATAAAGAAACGCCTGCTTGGACAACTTCCTCTTATCTCAGTTTCGCTCATAGTGAAAATACTTCAGCTAACTGGACATTGCTGGAGAAGTAAGTCAGAACTTGTGAGTGACAC